AACGCTGTGCATTATGCCATTTTCCGTCTTAATGCACGGTGGTACGTGGAATATGAATGCAGACGTCTTGAGCATCAAGACGCCTACCTGCATAAAGCCAATTACTGGTTTTCTGCGTGCAATTGCTCCTCCACTGTACGATAGCTGGGTGCGAGCCAAGGCTGACGAGTGCACTATGACAAGTCTGGTTAAGTCTGGCCGGACATTCCAGCAGTTTTCATGTGCTCTTTACGCAACCGACGTGACGTTTCAACAGTCGAATCGTCCTGTCGGACACACGGCGGAGGTGATGCCGTACTACAGTGGCAAGCATAAACTTTACGGGCTAAAAGTTGAAGTTTCAGCTAACCCGCAAGGGTTTGCAATCGGTCGCAGCGATCACGCACGCGGAAACACTCCAGATATCACAATATTTAGGAGCAATGTCGAGTTTCATGACTCGATTCGGTTGAAACCCGAATCGGACCAGAACCCGGTTGATAATGGGCCGCTGACGACAATTTTCCCGGGACGAGTGGGGGCTTTTGGCAGACAAGGGCTACCAAGGTCTCGCCGAAATGAAACGCTGCAACCCAAAGAAGAGAAAAAATCTTTCGCGAGTTGACTAACAGTTCAACGACAACGTCGCTTGTGATCGTGTTCGTGTAGAGAACTTGTTTTGGCGTTTGTGTACACTATGGCGGGTCTGATCCGACAAGTACCACTGGAGGGAGAATCTGTACGACGACGTATTTTAGGTATGCGACAGCCCTACGAAGTTTCATATTGAAGGCGATCCTCTGCGCGAAGACAATTTCGAAGAGTATACCCAGCGAGAGCACCGTCTACTTGATATTGGGAAGGGAAAACAATAAAACGTCGACTCTCTCAAGAGAATAATTGTCACCGCAAACAAATGCGTCATCGAATGGCTCTTGATGATCTGCCTCGTCACCACAATTCCGATGAAGACGCAGATGTCACGCAGATGTAGGTCGCTGTTAGTAATCACGTAAGTAGTCACAGCACAGCGACACCTTGACAATCGAGAAGTCACCACGACGTTAATGTGTTTTCCTATTTTTGTGTTTCCATCATAAAATTTGAGATGAACTGATGGACTACAGCGCTATTTTGTAACTGGTTTAGCGACCTACTTCTCCGGTCCAGAAAATAATTACCAGTTAGGTTTTTCTATAAACACCTTGCATGTGTGATTGGTCAATGTCCATACTAAGATGGAGACAATTGGTTTAAATGAGTTCATATGAGGATTTGTATGCACACGGATTGACGCGAAAATAAATTCAATTGCTTTTAGTGATATATCACTAGATTAAGCTCAGTTTGCGCTTTTTCTAGTATATTTTATAATTGATTTCTGATTATTTTTGATGTCAAAGCGGAAAAACTCCACCCCTCCGTAAATTGATAGTTCAAATGGTCAGGTATTGGCAAAATTGGCGGGAAATTTGATCATTTAAAAATCGTGCTGACACGAGGTAAGTAGATATTTCAGACTAGCTCAACCACGGCTCCGTTGGGCTGTACGACCGAAGTTATCTTCGATTTAAAGAACTGTTAATTCTTTTTCGGACCAGACAAGTATTGTTCAAAACGACGCCCTTTTTATTTTATCAGGCATCACGTTTCATAATAAGCTGGTAGTGCTTGTAGAGCGGGCTTAGGATAAAATTTTCTGGTGCCACGCGGTGGAGTCCTAAAGCCTTTTTGATGGCAGAATTAACCTCCACCTGAGTCTTGCCCATTTTGACCATGCGACCTACCTTCACCTTTAGATGAAGCGAAGGCACTGAAGTTTTGGGCTTTCTCGAGTGCTGCTGGCGACAAGTTGTCGAGGCCTAAAGCCATTCTGACGTATTCATCAGGCCTATCGTCTAAAATCCATTTCGTTACTCTCGCCATCAATTCTTCCCTCGTGGTGTCGTCACTGATCTTAGGCACGGGTATTTTGCGCTTCCTATTATTCTGAAACGCGATTTCGTCGATTTTCCCTGCGTAGCGCATATACACGCTTAGTGCATCGGTAGGCGTAGTTTCAAGCGGGCTGTACATTGTGCTGGTCCTCTCCAACCCCAGCTTCGACCATATATGAGACCGCGTGAAACATAAGTATACTAATCAACCTAGGTACGAATCGCGATTTAGGCGCACCAACACAAACCTATGTATCTTGGCTTCGTTTTGAACCCTTGCACACCTTCGGACACGAGATATTGACGAAGTGGTGAGCCTCTGGAAAACTTACCTCGGTGGATGACCAACTTTTTCATTTTTTTTATTGCAGTGTCTGAGGCAGAATCGCCCGTAGAATCGCGTGGTGCTATTCGTTTCGGCTAAAACGCAGTAGAAAGTGTCTAAAACCGCATTTGTGTGATCAAATCCGAGTGAACCCATGTGTATAATCTGAAAAAAAGCCTAAATTTAGTGATGGACATCAGTATCATTTTGATTTAGGCGGGACATTATGGCAAACTTACACTACAGCATCCCCAGTGCACGCAGCTTTTCGCTTCTTAGTGTTTCTCGTTTGATCTTCGTCATCCTGCCTACCGCGTTTGCCTTGGTTCTCTTTCGCGGTCACTGCCATTGCCGCTCGGTGCTCTCGACGAGCTTGTTTGGCGGCTTTAGCACTGTCCCCTTGCTGCTTACTTGGAGCTGCGTAGATTGCATCTGACTGATACTCGTCTGGGACGTAAGGCCGGATAGTGCGATGCATTTGGTCGATTTTTTCTGCATTTCGCGGATGCGGCGGCATCGTCTCCAGGTAGCTGCTGAACATGCGCGTCACCTTGTGGCGTTCGGTGAGATGGCCATCTAGCTTCCTACGCAGATCCTTCTCCACTGCAATGCTGGTGGGGCCCTTTTTGCAGATTACAACCCCCGGTTTCGTGGAATCCATTGAAAATATTTGAAACTGCTGCACGCCAAGCAATTTCTTGTAGAGCTCTGTGAGTAGTGGCTTGTAGCTCTTGAAGAACCCATCGTCCCGTGAAATGTGCACAGTTTCATTGGATGAAGCGGCTTCTTTTACTTCTCGGACAATCTGACCCAAAGTCCAGCAGTTTGTGCGGGCGAGGTGCTTGCGAATATGACCAAAGCCACGGTCACATGAATTCTTAGTGTGTCCTTTCACGAAGAACTTATAATCCACGCTCTCAAAAACCTCCATGTGGGCTTGTGCTAGCAGAAACTGGATCACGTAGTTATTTTTATTCTGGCCAGAGCAGTTGTCAGCGTATATCACCAATCGTTTTCTGCCAACAGGAACCAACACATTGTCGATAAAGTGCTGCAGCGTGGAGCTGATTTGCTCGCTTCCCTTCCCACCGACAGACTCATCGTAGATGTAGTTCGTTTGCTTGCCTTCATTCTCGTAGTATATCCCAAACACACTGACAGAGACCAACGAGCAGAAGTACCATTGCGACGGAGTAGATGTGACGGACGGAGCAGTCAGATTCTGAGGGTAATCCATAACGATTACTGCGACGTCCTTGCCCTCTGTTGTCTTTACGAGAGTCTTATCCCTGTTATATTCCTGTCTACAAACACACCAGCAAAATAAAATGATATTAGTGTCCACCTTGGAAATTGCTAGTAAAACAAAATGATACTCATATCCCAGATCCAAAATTACCTCATTTCCCTAGCAGACAGTGTGTGCTTGCCCAACTACTCCGTTTGCTCTGCGGTAGCCCCTCCACGCATTCGCGACTGGTAAATGGAACTCAAGTCACACACGTTCGAACGGCCAGATCGGATGCGAATGTTGGGGCAGTGCAGCGTTAAAAGTTGCCTCATAGTAGACTTGGCTGGCTCCCGAACTCGAATCCTGATTTCCTCCACGTATGTGTGCATTTCATCATAGATCGCATCCCACGTGAACGTCGGCGGCAGCAAAGTGTACATCTCAGAGCTGTAGTACTTTTTCACTGTGCCATTCGCCGTCTTCTGCAGCCGAACACGCACTGGTACTACTTCCCCGACCTCCGCAGAGAACTCTTTAAACCACTTCACCAGCCACACGAGATCGATGACAGAGGCGTGCTTGTTCAGGGTGTTCCCGTGCGCCTTAGCTGCAATGTTTCCTTCGCGCACACGCTTCTTGTATCGCTGGATAGTCAAAGAAGTTACCCCGAGACATTCTGCAAACATGGGCCGGCAAACTCTCCCAACCAGTGGCACGTAGTAGTGAAATTTCTCGCGTTTTCCGTCTCCTCGGTGCCTCTCCACAGTATCCGTCTGCTTGAGAACGCCCAGCATCGTGTAGAGGCTTGTCAACTTCTCTGATCTGGTCATCTGTGAGATTGAACACACGAGCCACTCAAGTTCTTGGGCTTTTCCCTGAAGACATCGGCGATCACACTTGTCGGCCTGAATTAGACCCGCCACTGTTTGTTGCAGACTCACCTCAATCAAATTGATACTTATGTCCTCCTCCTCTTCAGCTGCGTCGCTTACACCACTCTCACCAGTGCTTGCCTCCTCGTCTTCCTCTTCATCTTCATTGTCGTCACTCCAATCTTCGTCGTCACTGTCGTCAGCTTCCTCATCGCTCTCCTGTTCGTCTTCACTCCCTTCATCTGCTTCAGCGACCCTTCCTGCTGGGGTACTGTAGCGGAGGGCAAAGCGACACGAGGAGCAGTAGGTTGAGCGATACTTGTTAGGTCGGCGGTGGCCGTGTTTGTGTGCGCCCTGGTGTCGGCTGGTTGCTTCGTGGCACGGTGGGGGCCGTGCTCTCCCGCATTGACCAGGACAGGGGGAGCAGGGGGCGGCACTGGAACAGCGACGGCAGGAGCGGGTGCCGTCGTGTTGCTTGCGGTCTCGGGGTACTGCATTCTCGAGGCTGGAGTGCGCTGTTCTGGAATGATACACCTGCTTCAAATTTCTGAAAAACTTTGACGCTTGTGTTTTTAGCTACTCGATAAAGTGCGAAAACACGTGGGCGATCTTTAGACGCGAATATCTCGATAACTCCAAATGGTTGATTAGTATCATTATGTCTCGCGCAGTCTCATATCTGAAAGGGGGGGATTTTTCTTGAGCCAGGAATTCATGCGAGCCGTTTGAAAGCGCCTTAAATACTTGTAGTTTTTGTTAGCCATTAGCAAATATACAGAAAGGTCTTTTAACTGCAGCGCCCCCATCACGAGTTCGTCGGCCTTGTCTGCTATCACCCATTTCGCCACTTTGCCTCTCATGCCACCAACACTCCCAATGAAGTTGACAAGCTTCGAATATGCATCACCTGCTCTCTCCTCGACAGAGTCGTCACCTTCAACAGTCTTGCCGGTACCTCGAAGTGAGTTTTGAGAATCGGTTATGACTGGCGAGATAATCTCAGTTTGTCCGGTGTTTTCGGCTACTGCGAGAGTATCAGCACTGGCCAGGAATGTAACCAAAAACACCAGTACCGTTTGAAGCAGACGCATGAACATGTGGAGTCTTAGACAGAAACACCAGGGGAGTGCGAAATTGCTGGTTTGAATTGTGTGTTGTAGTTGGGAAATACCAAAGTGAGGTTAATGTCCATTAATGCGTGCCAAAAAAAAGTAATCAGTTTTATTGATGACTCCTTTTTTATTCGACGTAATACTCGGTTATATTGGATTACACCCGTACCATGTAGGTATTCCTTTACTGGAATTAAAACAGAAGCAAGACCAAATTCGTAGCAGCATTTCGCAGAAAAATGTACTACATTAATTCATAATAAAAGAGTGTTCCAACAGCCGCTTCAAATCGGGGTCTTGGCAACACCGTCTGGAAAAACGTCATCTTATCTACGGCTGGAAAGAGGAGAGCCGGGGTGCCGTAGTATCGGTAGACTAGGGGGAAAATACTGCTACAGCACTTGTGTGAGCGCATAGAAGGTAATATCCCGGAAAATGTTATAATAAACCATTTGAAATATACTTTTTCTGGCATTTTTGGTTTGAATAACCTTCTTTTCTGTATTCATTCCTGGTTGACGTTTACCATATTCCTAATGCTTGCCAACGTAGGATCTACAGCCCCCCCCTCACTTTGCGATATTCCTAAAAGTGATAGGCAGTGGCTACAACATTATTCGAGGATTCGGACACGTTCCAGGACGTCCGACTTCAATCCAAAACCATGTTCCCCTTATTAGTAGTAGTTTAGGTAAATGAGTTTTTTTTACATATTTTCCTCGGAGTGTAGCGGTGTGAATCTCAGACGAGGCAGACAACCTCATGTAGAGGAAATGACGGACCAATACAGAATGGATGATGAACATTTAGTCAACGTTGTTGCAGTAACGTTGTGTGTGGTTAGTGTCTCAATATAAGAGATTATCATAACTCTCTGGTGACGTCTCCTAGCTGTTTTTCAAGATCTTGAACGAGTCGAGCAAGTCGGTCTTGCTGCTGGATCATGCCGCTGATTTTGGCTTGGATCTTCTCGAGTTCGCTCTCAGCAGTCTGGTTGCGGAAAGATCCGGAGAAATCGGTGTTCAGCTGCGAGATGCGGTTCAATGTGGTCTCTGGCGTGGGTGTCACTAGCTGCTGAGCTGTGTTATCGTCAATAGCTGCTGACGCTGCCATTGTCTCAAGAACGGTAAGCGAAGTCTCCGTTGACTTGGGGCTTAATTTCTTAGGCGTCGTTTTGCTACGTTTGTCCACGATACGAGCAATACGCTGCTTCATAGCTGGGTAATGCGTGAGTGCGATGAGGAACTTCTCTCGTGTGAGCATCCGCAGCTCGCAGAAGCAAAGCGTGCGTACCGTTGCTGTACGCAGACAGTTCTGGTTCAAGATAGCCATCTCACCAAAGTACTGTTTCTGACCGAGCAGTCCTAACTGAACGCCAGACTTGACGATCTCGACGACGCCACGGAAAATAAAAAACATTTCTTCTCCTATTTCTCCTTCCAGAATGACCTCCTCCAAGGGTGGGAAGCACACCATGCGCATACTCAGAGCGAGTTCCATCAAGAAATTGTGGTCGGCTCCGGCAAAGAAGGGCATCTTGTTAAGAACACTATCGTTGATAGCAAACGCGATCTTGGAGCGCAGTAACGCGGACAACTCGGCCAAGATTTTGGCTTCGTTAACCAGCTTGGACTCGGCTGATATTCGAGCGTTGAAGAAGAACTCTCGGATTTCGTATCGTAACTGCATTGGCAACTCGCGAGCCTCCATGTAGTCGTTAAGTGCGTCCATGCGGAGTTGAAATCGACTGTCCGGTCCGTTTAGGTTAGTCACCATAGCTACGACATTGGTGATGCCATAGGCGAATATCCAAGCGCCCAGTATCATGGCGACGATAGCGAATATCCGCTCGTGAGTAGTGGTCGGATGCACGTCTCCATACCCCACTGTCGTCCTGGGATTGACCGTTAAGTAACTTAATAAGTTAAGTTAATGATAACAATACGTACATTGTCATGATAGCCCAGTAGAATGAAGTTACGTATTTTTCGTACAGACTTTTGTCTTGAAGCCCCATCGAAGCCACCCAGCCGTCATCTTTGTCGTAACTAATGAGGAAGAAGAAGCAGCTAAAATAAAGTAAAGCTTGTGTCAATATAACACTTGCGTGGTATGTTGAAGGGACGAGTTTTTTTTTTACCTGAGCCAGTGTGACGTGAAGCATACGAGCATGCAGAATTTAAAGATACTGCTGACTGTAGAACGTAATAGAAGAGCATAGTCGAGGCGATTGAGAATGCGCGTGATGGTGAGCATTCGAACGAGACGAAAGAGACGGAAAAGTCGGAACATTCGAGCGAGTTGGGGGATGCGGAAGTACGAGCCTTGAAAATAGTAGAGCGGGAAGGCCGAGACGAAGTCCAGCAAGAACCACGACTTGAAGTATTTCTTAGCTATCGCCGTGAGTTTTGCTTCGATTTGACCTCGCTCCTCGTACGCTGAGATGAAATTTATGAGCTTTAGAGCGATGTTAGAAAAACTAGATACTGTGCGTCCAGAGCAGCGGACGTACAATGTCTGTGATGAAGAAGACGTCGATGACTCGCTGGATGTAGTCCAAACCTACCAGAGACTGCGGCGCTGAGGCTCCAAACGACAATTGGAACTTGATAGCGAGTTAGAGCTGGCGACTGGTATTAGTTTCTGGAAGCAATTAATTATCTGGACTTACAGGGATACTGAACGAATTATCTGTATAAACATCTGATTAGGGCTGTATCAAATATGAGAAGATATTAGTTGTTCACTTACAGAAGATAAGTGAGACCGAGAGCAGATCCCATCGCACCCGGAACTTGCCGTGAGGCGAAATGATATACTTGGGAACAACCGATTCGTCGAATTTCTGCTTCTTCTTGTTGATGATGAGTTCGTTCTTGGAGACAGTTTCGACAAAGTCCAGGGCCTCAGCTGTATCAACGTAGTGCTGTATAAGTGGCTACAGCTACAATGCAATAGAGTGACTCACCTGGAGTGAGATCGTCCATGTCCCGTTCCAGTCTTTGGTCCTGGAACTCGCCCATCTTGCCATCCGCGGGTTTCACCACCGCCACTTTGGCCCGGTTCTTGACTTTCCGGACCATATCCCGCATCGTCACGAGTTTCAACAAACCGGTCTGAGTGATTTGTTGTTGCAATGCCTTTCGACGTGACGGCTCTGCGATGGGCGGCAACCGAGCGGCTGCTTTGGCTCGGAGTTCATTCTGCGCCAACCGCATCTCCTCAATGGGCGAGAGCCCCGTGATGTGGGCTCTCTCTGCCTGTCGAGCCATGAATGCAGACTGCGGCGCCATACTGGCAAGACGCGAGGTCTCCGACGCTGCTTCCTTGTCTCGCTCCGGTTGCTTCTTGTTCATCATCGAGAAGTTTTAAGAGTTAGTAGGAAGGAACGTGGTGTCTCTGTGATAGAGGGTCTCAACTCCGAAGTCGGGTTCGTTACACAATGGAGAAATCGTTCTCATAATAGCTATGTCGCTTCAACGATAACCGTAAGTCATACCGGTTCCATCCGTGATTGATGAAAACAAAAAAGTCGATGGCAGCTGGTAAATTACTTAAGCTTCTTTGTCTTCAACATTTTACTGTTATTACCGGTATAGTACGTGGTTATCTCATCACTTCACAAGAGAGAGATAATGCTCAAGGGTGGGGTTCTCAATGAGAAAAAGAACCTCAACATATCATCTGACAAAATTGAAAAGAGAGGGGATTGCAGACTTGCAACAACAAAAAAGCTACGCCGACTTTACAAACCGAATACCGATAAGCTCAAGGCTCGCTGTTGTGCTTTCAGTATCTGTTTCTTTGCGCACCCTTTTGAGTACCCGCTATTACGATACAGACAACGACGGTATATCCGCCATTCCTTTGCCCGAGTCCAAACATGGGTTTCTCACTAAATGAAACCAGTTTCAGCCAATCCGTATGCCATATTTGAGCGTTTCTGTACAATCAACCCAGGATGTGTTGATTCCTGAATCGGTTTTGTACATTTTAAAATCGTTTTTGTACTTTGTGCTCAGACTTTGAGCTGAAACTGCCACTTTCAACCAATCAAACAACTGGGTGGGTATTCCTGTCACGCGTAATATTTATATTTTATATGAAGGATAGTGTGACACCGGGCGGGTTTCACGTTCGTTCTCGTGTTTACTCCTAATTTTTGTAATAAACGACCTGAACTCAGGGTAAGTTTTATGATACCTCGTAATTGTATTGAGCGATTATCACGTAGCTCAGTAATGACGGGTTAACAGCCTGAAAATAGACTGGGACTTGGGCCCGGTCTTTACTAAGTAGAAAGGACGTAAAGTCCTAGCGCCAATTTTTTTTTTTTGCGGGGTATCCGCCAATCATAGAGAGTCTCAGTAGGTGAAGAATCAGATCTGACAATAATCTTTCCTGGCTTGAGGAAGCTGTAATATTCGTTTCTGGAATATCGCAGGCTTTGGAATAAGAATTTGCTTCGTCCAGAAATATATTCCAGCGTTATTCCACTGGAATAAAATAAAGGAATATCTATATGTAATCAATCCGTCATTTATTCATATTTTATCCTAAAATTCGTTATTTCAGGCATTGTGATATTTTAGAAACTAAAGTGTTCTGATATTTCTTCTCCGGCAGGATCCAGTCTAGCATTTTTCAAACTTTTTCCACAGGGGATAACGTTTTGTGTGGTCGTGGCAATTTCGAAATTGTGGACGCGTTGCTGAGATGATATGTACTTCTCCGGTCCGAAAAAGAATTAACAGTTAGGTTTTTCTATAAAAACTCGCATGTGTGATTGGTCAATGTCCATACTGAGGAGGAGACGATTGGTTAAATCCGCAAGGCAAAATGGACTATACAGGACATAGGCGCGATTACCATAGCCTCCGATTTTTTTGTGTCGAACTGACGGCCGAGAGTGAATAGGGCTCGGAATCCTTCTTTGCTGCCTCTGTGATATTCAAGTGCATTAGGTTTAGTATTAGTATGTGTAAACAGGGGTCTCCTCTCACCTAAATCGAAGCAATCCAGAGAGCGCATCAATTCCTCCTCGCCAACGAAATAGTCGCTGCCACGCTTGTCTTTCGTTGTCTTCCCTGGCTTGAGATAAGTAAAGTCGTTTGAAAGACCTTTTGGTGGCCTTGATTTTCAGCACACTTTAGTCAGATCTGTCCAACGCTGCCTGAAACCGGACATCTTTGATTTACGTGGCTTTTTTATATGAGCGAAATGAGTGGCTCCGCAGCACTTTCGCTTTGTGGTCTGTTGTTGTTGTTAAAGGCAAATGCCAAAATGAGTAGATTAAAGTCAATTAAATCTGTCCTCTAAACTTCAGTGCTCCTGGCCATCCACCAGATTAACTGGTTTGGGACCGGTCCATTTTGGAACGTCACGCCGGTTAGCCGAACCGTGCAGAGTCGGTGCATATCAACACTCCCACTCACCGCTACTGCACGTCGTTCCTCTTCTTGATTCCACTTGCTTCGCGAAGGAACGCTAGCGACTTCGTTCCCAGTGCTTTCGTAAGCATGTCAGCTAACTGCTGCTTCGTGTCGATGTAGGCCACCTTGATTGTGGAACGTTCCACATTCTCTCGAATAAAGTGGTGACGGATATCCACGTGCTTGGTCCTCGCGTGATATCCAGCGTTGCTTGCAAGTGCAATAGCACCTTGATTGTCTTCCCAGACCTGCGTCGCTCCCACTTGCTCGTGACCCATGTCTTTCAGCATGGCACGTGTCCATAGTACCTCTTGAGTACAAAGGCTTAGTGCCATGTACTCTGCTTCCGCTGAGCTAAGTGCAACTGTCCTCTGGTACTTGGACTTAAACACCACCGGAGCGATCCCAATAATGACCATGACGCCAGACACTGAACGTCTGTCGTCAATGTTGCTTCCCCAGTCTGCGTCCGTAAACGCTTCTGCCTTGACAGCTTGCGTTCCAAATCCACTCGTTCCACTTTTGTATACGATACCATGATGGCGAGTGGACTTCAAATACTGCAGAACACGAATCGCTGATTTCCAGTGTTGCGTTCCTGGATCCTCTAGGAAGCGTGACAGCTGCGTGACAACGTAGGCAATGTCCGGCCGAGTACAGGTTGTGATGTACATGAGGCACCCGATTAAGGAGCGATACGGTCGTGACCACATTTCAGCACGTTCCTTTTCCGTAGTCGGCGACACCATCTTGGACAATTTCAGGTTTGCTGCACAAGGGTTCTCCACCATCTTGGCGTTCCGTTGATTGAATCGTTCCACAATGTCGTCAATGTACCGAGTTTGCTTGATCATCAGCGTTCCACATTCTCTATCGTGGTCAATCTCCATTCCCAAAATGAATTTGGCCTCGCCAAGCTCCTTCATCTTGAATGCGCTCTTCAGGGCGTTTTTGACCTCCCGAATTTCGTCGCGCGTCTTGGCTGCAATGATCATGTCGTCCACATATAGACATACGTACACGAATGCGTTTTTGGAACGCTTGACGTAGACACACTGGTCGGCTCCGCAACATTTGAAACCATTCTGCAGGAACACGCGATGAATAGTCTTGTTCCATGCACTTGCAGCTTGCTTCAAGCCGTAGATGGCCTTTAGCAGCTTGCACTTCATGCCTTCAGCATTCTCGAGGCCAAATGGAACGTCCATGTGGACCAAATCCTTCAAATTACTGTTTAGGAACGCTGTGTCGGCATCCAGTTGCTCCATAATGTAGCCGCACGTAACGCAAACAGCGAGTACAACTCGAATCGAGTTCATATTCGCAACTGGGGAGTACGTCTCAAAGAAGTATATTCCAAACTTCTGCTTGAACCCCTGCGCTACTAGGCGTGCCTTGTAACGGATAACCCGGCCGTTCTCGTCACGCTTCTTCGTGAACACCCAGCGACATCCAATGGAACGAGTTGTCGTTCCACGTGGAACGAGCGTCCATTTCCGTTCCGGGAATGCGAATTCAGCTCTGACTGCATAGCACGACGCCACTCTCCTGCTTCGTTACTGGCAATAGCTTCTGCGTACGTGTTAGGCGTATCTGGAACGCCACCAATACTGGCCGCGTACGCCAACACTACCTCTGCGAGCAAACCATCTTCGTCGATTCTGGCACGCTTAGGAGATGACGGTCCATCACTTCCACGTTCCACGTCTTCATCGTCACCATTCCCAAGTAGAAGTAATGGCTCACGAGGGCGCGTAGATCGTTCCGTTTCAGGATGGAAGATCATCCGGTCCTCATGGAACGATGGAGGCTGCGAATGGAACGTTGCCAAATCCAACCCATTTAACCTGGGTTCCTCCGGCGCGGGTAGCTGCTGTATTTCTGCGTTCCGTTCCGGTTCAAGGTCGTCCATCTCAATGTCTTGAGCAGGCTCCTCTGCTTCTTCCATCGATTCATCCTGAGCAGGCTTACGTTCCACTCCCGATATTGGAACGATCGTATCATCGTTCCTCGTCACATGGATGACCGTTCCTGAAGCTGGCGACTGCGTGTCATAGATTCCGCCCACCTCACGCTCGTCCAGCTTGACCGACCGTGTCACCTTGACCTTCGACGCATCCATGTCGTACACACGATATCCTTTCACGTTCTCAGCGTACCCGAGGAACGTGCACTTGAAGCTCTTGGGTTCCAGCTTCGTTCTCATCACGTCGTCCACATGAGCGTACCCTTGTGACCCCAAAACACGTAGGTGTTCCATCCGTGGCTTCACCTGGAACGACAGCTCGTACGGCGTGACATCAGAGTTTAATGTGTTCGTGGAACGGTTGATGAGATACACTGCAGTACTAACCGCTTCCGCCCACCACTGCGTCGACATAGACTTGTAGTGCAGCATGCTTCTTGCCTTCTCCATGATGGTACGGTTCATGCGTTCCGCCACTCCATTCTGCTGAGGGCTGTATGGAACGCTACGCTGATGCACGATACCGTTCCGTTTGTATAGTTCCAAAACTGTCTTGTTCACGAACTCCGTTCCATTATCGGAACGAAGACATTTTAGACGTTCCCCCCACTGGGTTTCGTACAATGCCTTGAACGCCTTCAGTTTGCTACCCACCTCGCTCTTGCTCTTCATAAAGTACGCAACGACAAACCTTGAGTAGTCGTCTACGAACGTCAGAACATATTTGGCACCACCCTTTGAGATCGTTCTCATTGGGCCCATTACGTCCGTGTGTACTAGTTCCAACACACGCGTCGTTCTCGTTAGCGATCGTGACGGGAACGTCGTCACGGTCTGCTTTCCCTTCATACATCCACCGCACAAAGTCTCGTTCCCATTTTTCACATGTGGGATACCAATTGTGGAACGTTGAGTCTTCGTCAGCGCGTCCTTGTTGGGGTGACCCATGCGAGCGTGC